GCAGGTCTGAACAAAAAGGGGGATTAACCGACCTCTAAAAAAAAAGCTAGGGCAGGACTGCAGCGCTAAAGCTGTTCAGGAATTCACTACACATGTACTTTGCTCGCTAACCTTTATTGCAGTAGCTTTATCTTTATGAGATGTAGGCCTACCTGACGATTTATACCTATTTCTGCAGAATCTTGCAATGCGTCCTTTTCCTCCACAAACGAAGCATCTTGGTGTACCGTCTATGGTAGTCCTAGGATCTACAGGTGCATTAGAGTTGGTACTCTTTGTTTCTAGCTGCAGTTTTCGGTAACCTGTCTTTTGTCTTTCAAGAACACCACCAAATGTACTCTGATGGGCTAAGGCATACTGATTTGCATATGTAGTCATCTCTCCTACACTCTTTTGCTTTCTTTCCCTTAAGAAGACTACTGAGTCTTTCAGACAAATTAACACCATCTGCTCAGTTACTACCAAATCTTTCAAGGTTTTGTAATCTTTCACCTCGCCTAACTCGGTCTATCTATTGACATACCCAGCCATGCCTTTAGCAAACTAACTATAGGTCTCCCCATCTTCCTTTTCAGCTGTCCTAAATTTAAGGCAAAACCCTTCCTCAGTATAATCATGCCGGTGAAGAAGTGCTTTCTTTAACCATTACTTTTGATTGTCACTAGCCTTATCTGGAGGTAATCAGGAGTACAGCTCTAAAGCTCTGCCAGTCAGTAACATACTAAGAATTGTTGCCTATTGCTGTTCATGCCAGTCAACAGTCTTGGCAAACCTTTCAAAACGCTTAATGTATGCATCTAAATCATCCTTTCAATCATGAAATGGAGGGAGTTTAGGTTTACTAATATTCTTAGAAATGTTGACCTGTGCTTCATGGTATATTTTACAGTGTGTGAAATAGCTAAAAAAACCTACCTACCTACCTACCTACCCAACCACCCACCCACCCACCCAGCCAAAATCAGGAAAATCAACTCAAAATGTCCACAAGTGAGTGTTTTTGTGATTTTGAGATTTTTTGAAATTCATGATGCTACACATGTTTAAAATGTTCTGTAGAACTTTTAAAAATGAGATTCTTATAGCGAAGTACTTCTTGAACACTCTTCGAGAGGTGCACACTCCTGGCTTACAGACCTTCAAATGTGATTATCTCTTTTTAAATGTTTTGGACGGTCCTATTTCAAATCTTCGTAGCTTTGCCATGGAATATCTAATTTCAAAAATGAAATTAGCATTGTAAAGTGCAAGGTCTATATTTTATTACTGTTTCAAATATTGACCTCTTTTTGCCCAATTCTGTCTTGTTTTGGCATGCTGTGTCACAAATGCTTTGTGATGCTATAGATCGATACAGAACTGTGCACTTGGATCATAATTTATCACCAAAACGTTAATCACCAAAATGATGACCAGTGACAGGAGACATAGGCGCGCACACTGGTGGTGCACTTTGAGCACGCGGAGTCACGACTGTGATTGACCAAGCAGGAACTACTGTATCGGTCTATTGTAGAAGGGAAAATGTTCTAGTATAATTTAATTTATTACTTGAACATTATACATTTACTTTATACAGGGAATGTACTTTATACCGGGAATGTGACAAAGCACGATAAAAGTTTCTTGGGGGATAATGGGTCTTCTGACATGTGTACAATAACTGAATACTCATAACATGACGCAAAAAATTGGCATGTATGCACTTTACACTGGATGTAAAAAGAAGTAAATTAAATGTTTCAAAATGATTGGCCTTGTGCCCCTTTGAGCTGGCCTTAGTGCCCTGTGGAATTTTGATGAGGACAAGGCAAAAGTGGCCTGCCCCTTTTTTCCCCAAGGTCCAGGCCTGTGTATACTCTTCGAGGACAACTATTGTGTTTTCCTTTGAACATACAGGTACAGTAGTAAACTGCACCTTGGCTATAATACCCTTTTTTTGTTCAAACTGGATATAGATATAAAAACCTTATGAAAGTGCATGCCTGGGAGTGATATCATAATATTGTCATGTCATGTAACATGAATTTAAAAAAAGGTCAAGTTTTGAAATTGATCATATTGAAACTTGGAAAAGCCTTGAATTCTGTTCAAACAGATGTAAGCCTCTAGTTTCATGTGTTTTTATGTACTCAGATGAAAGCGACATTAGTGATGGTGACGCTGATAACACATACTATCCTTCAACAGAATGTGTTGACGAGTCAGGTAAAGTGCATGCTTATATTACTAAATGAAACATTTTCTGCAAAAACTCATGAAGTGGCAAGCTGGTTGTGAAACAACAGTTTAGCTATTTTCAGATGACTGATTTGTTTCATTTATATTTTGTATTGAATCAGACATTGACAGCAGTGATGACAGTCCTGCACTGGAAGCTGTTGGCATTTCAGGTAAGTTTCATGCCCATTGTGATAAAACAACTGAAAATGACAATATTACGTATCCAGAAATGGTTGGAATTGACCACTACTCTGACCAAGTGGAGCCAAGGCAAAGGGGAGCCAAGGAGAATCAGGGGTCGATTTCACAAAGCGCTAAGACTCGTCTTAGGAAGGGTAGCTCATCTTAAAGTTACAATTCAACCTAGAATTGATTTCACAAAACATGAGATGCATTCAGCACATCCATAGCAACTCATTGTAACTTAAGATAGGTTTGAGGGTCGTCCTTATCTCACTGATGCGCATGCTAACTTTCTCAAACGGGCTGACTGCAGAATGAACGCCTTCTTAAACAACTTTTAACTGAATGTCTGGAAAAAAAAAACATGTAACCTTAAACAAAGAGCACCAGACACATGCCAGATAGCTTTTGTAAAAAAAATTGTCATGGCTGCACCGATTAGTTGACCATGGACAAAATTTCCAACGCAGGTTTGATAGAATCTTGCGAAGAACAACCTTTATTACTTATAATCATGACTGTTAGTTCTGAATATGTGTGAAGAATGTGGCCAGAAAATGCTTCAGATTGCACCACAGAACATCTAAAAAGGGCCCTGGATACCACGCCGTGAGGGCTTCATGCTTGAAAATGTGCCCTTAAACAGATTTCCCAATGTTGGCAGCACTGGTTTGGCGAATCATCTGATAGAAAATGTTCAAATCAAATCAATTTTTTTTTCACATTGACATACAAAATATTCTTTGACGTTATAATTACAATCATAATTACATGTAAATGATGCCAACATAAAGAAAAAAGGTTAAGCAGAGCTTTTGTTCCGTTCCCTGAAAATATACAAATTACGAAACAACTACACACAGACAAGGACAGGACAGAACAGAACAGAACAGGAGCTAAGTAAGACCCGGTAACATAGTTAAGTAATGATGAACAAATTAAAAAGCACTCTCTTAAATATTCGTACCAATAGTTGATTGTTTCAATTTTTCTGGAAAATGAAGCCACAGTAGTACACTCTTTTAACCCAACACTAATTTGTTCCAATATATGACATCACATTGAAATGGGCTACTTTTAAAATATAAAGTTCTTTTATTTTTCAAAATTAGGTTACCTTTCGATGAACTACATGTTTCGTACGATTGAACAGTAGAAGTAAACGAAAAAGATGATTAAAAATTTGGGGGAGCATGTTGTGAAAATATTTGAACATAAATATACCCAGTTGATGATAGTAGAGATCATGCAGTTTGAGAATATTAAATTTGACAAATGAAGGAGTGGTATGATCAAGGTAACCTGCATTGAACGGCCTTCTTCTATAACATAAACAGTTTGTTCAAACCATGTGCAGTTGAAGATCCCCCAAATGAAAGTAAACCATATTTGAAATATTAAAGAATAAAAGAATTGTACAATGTTTGAAGAGTATTATCAGGTACAAATTTCTTCAGACGATTCCTTATCCCAACATGTTTAGAAGTTTTACTACATAAAATATCAATGTGGTGATTCCAAGTAAAATTTTCATCTATGAAAACTCCAAGAAATTTAGTGGTCTTGACCTGATTGAGTGGAGTACCATCAAAGTTGAGAGAAACAGTGGCTTAATATTTACGTTGGCATGGACAAAAAATGATATAATTAGTCGTAAGCAATTTAATTGATAATTTGTTCAAAATAAGCCATCTACTGATTTTTACAATTTCAACAATAGTACATGTATGTTCATTACACGTTGCAAGTTATAAATGCTGCCCGCCTAAAGGGGCCATGAATGGATATTTATGCATCCCCCTTTCTGATTTTAAGTTGATATGAATAGAAATTCATTTGACCACTTTTTATATTTTATGGAGATATGAATGGATATAAAAAATGCCTTCCTCCTTTTTTGGGGGGGGCCGGGGGGGGTTTAGGAGTTGTGGATAGCTCAAAGTATCAGTGTTGTAGTCGAGACCAATACAAGACCGACACAAGACCAGCGAGACCATCACGAGACCAGCAGGCTCAAGTCAAGTCACAATCTATTCAAATGAACTGCAACAATTTCATTCCATTTTCATTGTTGTGCTTGTTGTTTGTGAATGGTCTTCTGACCGGTCTTGTGTTGGTTTTGTGACTGGTCTTGTGTCCGATCTTGTGATGGTCTCGACTACAACCCTGCTAAGTATGGTACATTTTGCCGCGTTTGAAAAATATTTTAGGAGCCCTGCATGGATCAGAACCATGGGGTGCCTATTTTCAGAATTAAGAAGGCTGTGAATAGTATACACATATGGACTGGCAATGAGGTCAGTAGCGCACGTCTATGCAACCCAGAGGGATTGGCTGAGGGAAATAAGACCCTCTTCTGGTCAGTCACAGGCCCGAGGGGTGCATAGATGTGCACTATTGACCAAATTATGGCAGTCCTTATGTGTTTTACAACACATCTCACTCCAAAAGAGCCGATTGTTGTGTCTACTGTTTCGAAGTACGACTTCAGAACGTTCACAGAGTAGTTAATTACCTGTTTTGTCCTTTGCGAGTCCTTGCCAAGAATTATCTCTTCAATTTCTTCCTCAGTTAGAAGGGTAAATCGAGGGTAATTCGTTTCATCATTTTCCCATACGTCCGTCGCCATGTTGAGCCAGCTGGGTAAATGATAATGGCAACCGCTAGAGGGCGCGCTTGCACTATCGATCCATTTTGACGTCGTCCAGGGATCATAACACTTTTTTATGTCATCTCGGGCGATACCCCATGTTAATGACTCACACGTGACAGCGTTTTAGCCAATCGGAACAAAGAAAAAGCAAGAGGTGTGTTCTAAAAATACATAGGACCCCTGTTTGATATTCAAGGTCCTGTGGCAAAGTCCTGGCCCAGTCTTTCAAAAGCCCAGCCATGCCCAGACCTTTAAGATTTGGATCTTGCTATTGTGAACCCTATGGTGAACTCCTATTGTGAGACCTTCTTGGAGTTTTTCATGGAGAATCATGCCTTTTTGGTCAGAATATGAGCAATTGCTTTGAAATCTTGAAGTGGCATTGTGAACAGAGGTCATGCTGCAACCAGCCTTATCACTAATTTGACGATCAGAGTAGCCCACATGATGGAGGATTCTTTGAACCTGACTAACATGTAGACTTGCTTTTTTACCCATGATACAGTAAAGCCAAATTGCCATACACGACCTATCTTGGCAGAAACTTTCATTCAAATGACGAATACCACTTTATTCATGTTACAGACTCTGTAGTAAACATGTTTTGCAATCATTTGATCTGACAAAGCAATACAGGTCCGTAGATAGAAATATCCATAAAATTCCAACTGGTCTCAAACTTTCAACCTTTTAAAAATATTGGGGGTTGTAAATGGATGTATTAAAACACATTTAACTGCCCCTTTTTTAAATATCAGTGCGTCCTCAATAGAAATACACTAGACAGCTGATTTCAGAATTTGGAGGGCAAGGGCATGAACAAAATTAAATATAACCCCTCCCCCTCTCAGAATGTAGGTGCTCTTGAATAAAAAAACGTGATGTCCCCCCTTCCGTTTTTTCAAAATTTAGGGGGTCATGAATTCATCAATTCGGAGCAGGCAAGCGGGTTGGAGCAGGAGAGGGAGTTGGAGCAGGAGAGGGAGTTGGAGCAGGCGAAGGGGCCACAGCAGCTGAGGAAGTCAAAGCAGGCGAGGGAGTCAAAGCAGGCGAGGGAGTCAAA